CTAGTAGCATTCAACTCTGCTTAACCCGAGTGTGATCCGGATGAGATGGAACAGAGTATCGGAATTTCGGACAGCATCAGCACATTCCACCTCTGACGCGCGTTGAGTTCCCCAGATTTCGCGGTCCCTGCACAGGCTTGCCTTCTGAGATGTGTTTCATTATGCTCGCTGCATCATCCTCGGCGGCACTACCAGAGTGTGATAGGTTTCAGGCTGGTCATCTGGCTCCTATTTAAAAGCCACATAAGCCCAATGTCACTCGCCTTTTAAAACTAGTCACTGACCCCCTCACTTCCAGAGCGAGGGATTACTCCCTACTGCCTTGCAGTTCGCGCTTGGTTGTGCAAAGGCTAGAGATGCGCCTCCAAAATAAGAAACGCCGAGTGATGCTGGGGACGTCTTGTACCAAACCCCAAAGGAAATTCATGATTATGTCTGGAGCCGTCTTATCCTGTCTAAGGAGCTAGCCAAAGTAAAATAAAGTAAAGTAGGAAAGCTTTGAATGTGAGCGAAACGATCTGTGAAGCTGAAGGCTCGTCCATTCATAATCAACGGCGACGTTTTGCACACTGGGTGTAGTAATTCAAAGCACAGTTTGGCGTTAGCTTCTCATACAGCTACTCCAACACATCCCATGGCCTGTCTCAACAGACCCACCTTCTGAGACCGAAATCCGCAAGGGGATTCAATTCTTCAGAACTCGTAAAGAATCGGGCTCCGATGTCCTCAGTCAAGCCTAGTTAAAGATAATTTGAGAATTGATGGCTCTTTTCTCTGGAATCTGGCACATTGAGTAGGTCCCCTACTCGTGGAGAAGAATCGACTGTACTCCGGATCTTGAAAAGGACCCATGCAGTGACTCCGCCAATCATAGGGATAAAAAGAGCTTTATCCCAATAGCGTCAAAGCTGTTGGCGTCCGTCCTCCGCTGATTGTACACTATGCGTGAGGAGCAGACCGGGTTTCGCGTCGGTCGTGGATGCATTGATCAAATCTTCACCCTCCGACAGCTGCTAGAGCACCGCCATGCTTATCAAAGACCAACGATCATTGTATTCTTAAAATCCACGCGGCCTTCGACTCTGTCGATAGGACCGCACTATGGAACTGTTTGTTAAGGAATGAAGTACTTGAGAAGTATGCTTCGATCCTCAAAGAGTTTTATCGTCATACCTCAGGTTGAGTTAGGGCTCATGGCCAGCTTTCACGACCCTTCGCCGTCTCCAGTGGAGTTCGGCAAGGCTGCCCTATATCCCCATTCCTTTTCAACTTTTCATAGAGGATGTCCTATAGAATGCTTCTTCCGGTCTAGAAAAGAGTGAAGTCGAACTACTCCCGGGGAACAGAGTCCTTGACTTGGCGATCGAGGTAGCCAGATATGGTGTGCTTTGCACCTTCCAAGTGCAAAGTGCTCGTTCAAGACTGGCAGGAGCCTGCGTCCGCACTCACCCTCTGTGGTGATCAGCTGGAAATGGTCGAGAGCTTCAAGTACCTCGGGAGCTTGATCGCCGATGATAGTGGTGTTGGGGAGATCACATCACGAATCGCCAAAGCTAGAGCAGCTCTCGCCAACTTACGACACCTGTGGCGCCGACATGACATCCGACTGTCCTTTAAGGAAAGGGTGTATATCGCC